GGAATTTCATTGGTAAATACTTTATACAAAATATTATCAATCGAAATCAGCGGAAGACTAACGAAATGGGAGGAAATGGTTCTAGGTGATTACCAGTGTGGGTTTAGACCGAGAAGGTGAACTACAGATCAGATTTTTTCAGTAAGACAAATGCTGGAGAAAGCCTATGAGTACGATATTACATTACATCATTTGTTTGTTTACTTCAGAAAAGCATATGATTCAGTAAAAAGGGAAAAAATGTACGCGCGACTGGAGAGACTAGGAACTCCAAAGAAATTAATAAGGCTGGTCAGGATAACACTGGCAGATACATCCAGTAGAGTGCTTTTCAATGGAAGACTCACGAAAAATTCAAATTTGGAAGATCTTAGACAGGGAGATCCATTATGTACAGTGCTTTTTAACCTTGTATTGGAAGCAGCCATAAGATAAATAAAAACGAATAGCGGAGGTGCAATTTATAATCGCATTACACACCATTTATATGCAGACGATGTCCTCATAACAGCACCGACTGTACCAGCACTTTCAGGCGCTCTTGAAGAATTCCTGATTAAAGCTGGAGAACTAGATCTAGATATTCTCGTGCATGAGGACCTCAAGAAGAGACCAGTTGACAGGAGAGGAAATGAAAAAAGGGAACTGGAGATTCAAGAGCTGTGGCAAATTTAAGTACCTCGGTAGCACGTTCACCTGCAAGAACCAAGTAGGAGAAGGTATCAAAGCCCGTATAGCTGCAGGAAATTGATGTCTGTACAGTGTACAGAGGCTGCAGAATTGCAAAAAATATGTCAAGAAGGACAAAAACTATAATATATAAAACGATTCTGAGGGCTGTTGTGACATATGGAAGCGTGACATGGTCCATGACTAAAGAAAGCAAAAGGATGTTACATGTATGGGAAAGGAAAGTAGTCCGGATAATTTATGGGCCAACCAAAGTGGAGGCTCAATGGAGTATTAGGTCTAACCTAGAGCTAAAAGAGCTTTATGGTGAACATGACATTGTTAGAGCCATTCAACTCAGCAGATTACGATGATTGGGGCATGTGGAGAGGATGGACCCTGCAAGAATGCCGAGAAAACTTCTCTATGGAATGCCGGGAGATGGAAGAAGGCGTGGAAAGCCGTGGCTCAGATGGTTGGACGAAGTGGAAGGTAACCTAAAGAAGCTGGTTGTAAAGCGGTGGTAGCGCTTCGCTGCTGACAGGGATATGTGGAAGACGTTAGCAGAAGCCATGATTCTTCAAGGACTGTAGAGCCCAGCAATGAATGAAGGACCGGAGAGTTTACCAAGAAAAGGCAATAGAAACACTACAACAGTCAATTGCTCTCTTCAACACAATCTACAGGTGGGAGTGTGGTGGTATGGGTCGGCATTTATTCAGGAGGAGAGACTCTACTCCATATTGTGGAGGGTAATTTCATTGCAGTTCGTTATGTTGAAGACATTGTAGAAGAGTACATTCCTCAAACCAGTACCGAATTTGGCATCATCATCATCATCATTTTTGGCACAATATCCCGTTACCGAGACTGGGCCTCCTCCAAGAGCCTCCGCCAGTTGGCTCTGTCTTCTTCTGCAGCTCTCCAGTTCCGTACACCAAGCAGGGTTCTCGCATCATAGGCCACGTTGTCCAACCATCTCGTCCTCGGCCTTCCTACCCGTCTTACGAGGTGCAGCTCCTCCATCATTATTTTTTTTGGTATTTCACCGGTGCTCATTCTGGCCACATGCCCTGCCCACCTTAGTCTGGCCAGTTTAATATACGTGACTACGTCGATGTCTGCATAGAGAGAACTGAGCTCCCTATTTTTTCTTTTCCTCCAGACATCACCCTCCTTTACTGGACCATAAATCCTTCTGAGGACTCCTCGCTCAAAGACACTCAGCTTCATCTCATCCCTTTTAGTCATCGTCCAAGCCTCTGAGCCATATGTCAAAACAGGCCGAACAAGGGTCTTGTATATGATCAGCTTGGTCTTCTTTGAGAGGTACCTACTTCTTAAGTGTCGGCCAAGTCCAAAGACACATCTATTGGCAGCCTTGATCCTTCTTTGTATTTCTTGAGCCATGTCATTCTTGCTATTAATTTCAGACCCAAGGTATATAAAACTTTTCACTCTCTCAAACTTAAAAGAACCTACCTCAAATGGAGAGTTCAGATCCACCTCACCACCAACTCTCACATACTTAGTTTTCCTCTCGTTGACTTCTAGACCAAGTGGTCTTGCAGCTGCTTCAAGGCTTATAAACGCTTCTCTGAGAGCCCGTTCAGACCTACCTATTATGTCAATATCATCAGCAAAACCAAGAAGCTGTGTCAGGCGATTGAAGATATATCTTTGGTCTGAATACCGGAGTCTCTTACAGCTTTCTCCTCTGCCAAGTTGAACAATAGACAGGCGAGGGCATCCCCTTGCCTAACTCCACTGCTCACTTTAAACTCTTCGGAGTCGTCAGAACCGACGCGTATTCTACATCTCGAGCTGTCCATAGTCATCTTGATTAGGCGTACGAGCTTCTGAGGGATGCTTAGCTTCTCCAAGGCACAGTATAGTTGCGTTCTATCAACGCTGTCGTATGCTGCTTTAAAGTCCAGGAATAAATGGTGGGTGACTACCTTGCGCTCCATAGTCTTTTCTAGGATCATCCTCAGAGAGAACAGTTGATCAGTCGTTGAGCGTCCTCTTCGAAATCCAGCATGATATTTCCCCAGTTCCTTTTCAGAATACGGGAGGATCCTCTCAAAAAGAATGTTAGAGAGCAGCTTATAAGCACACGAAAGGAGTGAGATTCCTCGATAGTTAGCGCATTCTGTTTGATCTCCTTTCTTATGTATTGGGCAGATAATGGCTGTTGCCCATTCCGTAGGCATAGATTTCCAATTTCTTGACGACAATACGTGACCTCATAGGAAAGTTAAAAGTCATAAAGTTATTCTTCAATGTCTCGAAAATCTGGACATTTCATATCTCCCTCTTCCCGTATTGTCTTCAGATTTCAATACATCGAGCACATGTGGGATGCACTACAAAGAGGGCTTTTTGACCACCATCTGCTGCTTCTTAATCTTCAGAAACTGAGAGTAGTACTACCATGTTTATGGTATGAAATTCCTTGTGAAATGAGCGACAACCATGCAGATCTACGGGGAGGGGGCAACTACCCCTCAAATGGTAAAATATTACCATGTCTTTAGGAAAATATATGTTTTAAAAACATCTTTAAAAGTATTATTGTTGGTGTAATTACATTTAACAGGATTTCAAAAATCACTTAAACACCATTTCGTATAGGTAGTTAGTTTTTTTTCTTTTTCTGCCGAAGTAATTATCGTTTTATTTAAAAAAAAAAAAAAAAAAAAAAAAAAAAAAAAAAAAAAAAAAAAAAAAAAAAAAAAAAAAAAAAAAAAAAAAAAAAAAAAAAAAGCTGTAGGGCTGAAACCCTTTCAAAATGAAATCCTGAATCCACTAGTGACAACAACATTATAAACAGTATGCCCAATAGGTGCAGAGAGGTAGTGCGTAATAGAGGATGTTACCCAAATTATTAAATTTTACAAAATTCGTAATCATAAAAACAAGATTACAAAAAGCTTTTAATTTTTTTAAAACACCTTCCAAAAATTTCTTAAGGTCAAATACAATCACATTTGTATTAATTTCAATTTATTTTGTAATAAAAACAAATTAAGTTTCTAGAGAAAATAAATCATACATAACTAACAACATCCCTATTCATTTTTGAGCAGTTTATATAGAAGGGAATATGTTTGAACATATAGGGAAGTTTAAGAATCTAGGATCTGCGATGACAAAAAAAAAAACTAAATTGAAGCGGCAGCTTATATTTAGGGATGAACAACGTCTAAGGTTTTTGAATATAAAGTATTGTGTAGAATATTCGGACCAAGGATGAGTTGAACGGAGAATTTATACAGTTATACGACGCCGAATTGCGTGAACTGTGTCCTGTTAATATAATTGAGATGATTACATTGCGATGAAGAAAATGGGTTTGTAAAATTTTAGGGCTTAGTGTCGAAAGAATCCTTAAAAGGTTAATATGAGGAATATGCTGAATGGTAAACGTCCGAGGGGGTTATATCGAAGCGAAGGTGGGAAGATTAAGTTAAAGCTGATCTTTTGGGTTTGGGTTTGGACGGTAACCAGTGGAAGGAAGTTGGTAGACAGCGATGATGTCGGCATCGAATCTTCGGATTCGCTAAGTCTTTAATTACTATTATTATGTACTTTTAGGAATGTCAATACTAGTCTACTATTAAGGCTCAGGGACAAAGAAATAAATCAGCCTCAGTGATTTGCGATCTTATTGTCTGCTTCTTCGCGGATGATCATGTTTTATCTGACAACGACAGTGAAATGGATAATGATTCAACTATATCGCCAGATGGACGCGCTTAGCGATCGAAGAAGGCCATGTCAGTTCGTGTTCTGAGTGTTTTTTAGGTCTAAAGTTTAACGAATGTGTGCTTGTGAAAAATCTGAACATCAAAAAGCTGGAAGCAAAATGAATTGATTTTGTACTGATTTTAATATCCAAATGTTTTACTATCAATATAGTTGGAATAGTTTAATGGAGTAACATTTCTTGTAATGTTTAAGTAAGCAACTATTTGTGATTTACATGTGATAACAATTATTTTAACGTCAAACCCTTTGTCTCTCTCTTAGTATTAGTTCATCCTTTAACACCTGTATTAATTTTAGAATACGAAATATTGAACTGGGCTAGGTTGAATTACTAGAGCTTGTCTTTGCGTAAAGTAGGTAGAAGGAAAAGGGCTATCCCCTCCATCCCTTTGAATTCAAAGGGTAGGACAACGACCTTTGTCGTTTACACAGACGTTCCTTATCACTTGTTGGATTCTTGTTATTAGATTTGTTAGATTTTCTCACGTCGTTTTGAACACATATATGTATATAATTCAAAAAGTTTTATATCGTTGAATTACATTTTTTATTAAAACAAAATGTTCTTGTCACCTATTTTTGCCATGTTTAGAACGAATGTTCCACATACTATAAGAAAAATTAATGTTAGTCAACCTTTGTTTTTTCAGGTATGTTTAAAATTATTTTATCAAGCTAATTTTTGGTATCTTATATTAAAATCAATAACCGAAAAAAAAAAAGAACGGTAAGAACTAAACAAAATTGCTTTTTCTATTTATTATTTCTGTTTATAGAAAATAATATTTAAACATTTACACACTATTTTTTTGTAATCAAAGTAAATCTTTGTTAGTGTTTGGTTTTTATTTTAGACCATAATTTATGAAAATGAACTTTAAAATACTTGAGAGAATTGTCCCAGAAGGTGAAAAGAGAAAAAAAAAAATTTAACTTGGTTACCAAGGTCATTCTTTATTTAGCTGGAATGGTCCATTATCATACAGCAATGCCTCTAATATTTATTAACAATATATTCCTGATGAATCATATATAATGTTTATGAAAAAAATTACTTAACAACAAATAATGGAATGCTTTATTGGTTATTAGTGAGTTAAGAATTATAGGTTAAAACAATACTCTTGAAGCCTTTGTATTATTCTACTAAATATTACAACAAAATAAACAGAGTAGTAAACACATTAAGAAGTAACCACTAAGTAATTTAATATTTGTTAAATATTGTTGGTATTCAGAAGATAAAATCCCTGTGTACTTGATTAACTAATAAATAAGAAGAAGTCCACAGGTAACTTCTTTCAACATTTTGTAACTGGTATATATACACACTTCCATAATTAACTTAATTTTAGAAATAAATTGCAAGTTTGAAGCTTAAGTATGCATTGGCAAGCAACCCCCTCCCCTTAATTGCATGGTGATTTATATTGTTATTTAAATGGAAGGTGTATGTCTTTAAAAAATAAAAGAAGATGTTGAAAAATTACAGGATTATTAATTTTTAGCTGAGAAGGAAGAACAGACATTGAAAACACTTACACAATATTATATATTTTAAAATCATCAATTATAATGTATATAGGAAAAATAAAAGATTTTTTCTAACTTTTCAAACAGTTGTTCCAGATTTTGTTTGTTATGTTAAGTTTTTCACAGATTCCAAGAATGTTCCATTGTCTTTTATTTTTTGTCTTCAAATTGAGAACAACTTTCCTTCAACTTCAAATATATTTTAAGTTCAATGGGGCTTCTATTTCTTAAATTTTCATTGGTAGTTAAATAGTCCCTAAATGCAGCAGGAGTTGAAAGAATACATGAAAATACTTTTTAAAATAAGGATGAAAAATTGTCAGTATGTGCAGTCAAAAATTTCTTTATTGAGTTTGGCGACGTTTCGACTCTTAACATGGTTTCGACTCGATTATCAGAGCTAAAAATTAAAAAAATACGGAATAACATCATAAAAATGATAAATATAAATGATATGGAGATGGTTGACTGTGGATTCAATTTCACATGAAATTAGTGGGGGTATAATATATTTTATTATATTGTCCCGGACAATATAATAAATTATACTATTATATAATATAGTATTTTTTTTTACCGCACCCCTGACTAATTTCATGGGAAAGAGATAAATATAAATGTTTAAGAGTAAATAAATAAGATAATAGGAATAAGATGATGTTAACATGATGAAAAAACACAACTATATAATAACAATTTTCTTTTTACTTTTGCTTTAAGTTTTAGTCTTTTTCACCATCAAGTTAACTGTTAAATTTTGGATAGTGGAATATAATTATTTTGTAAGGCCTAAAATATCCTGTCAGTGGTTGAGAAGCCACTGTTGTTAGAAATAAATAAACAAACTTTCAATTTAAAAAAATTATCTTGTCTGAAATCTAATAAGAATGAGTGCATGGAAATTAAATATAAGACTATTCTATCCAGTGGATGATATTTAAAAGCTGTAGGAATAAAATGTGTTAAGAATTAAAGCAAGGTTTAATTCTTAACACACCTGTTCCCAAGGGTGCCCCGAAGGGTGTTTTATCAAAATTAATGAGGGGCACTTTTTGACGGGGTTTCTAATTTTTGAGGGGGTCACATTTTGACGATGTTAGGAATTTTCAAAATGAAAACTTTCAAATCAAAAGAAAAGTGGAATAATGGAACAGACCACAGGATGTGTAATGGTATATGATCTACGAATATTCAAATTCTACTTTTGTTTGCACTGTTTTTAAGGCACCCCTGCCCGTTCCTGAGGTTTGCAGGAATGGTTCTCATTTTTTGAGGTATTATTTAATCAATTTTAATATTTTTTTTATTCTGCATTAATAATTGTGATTCTTTTAAAATTATGTTTGTTTAGTTATCTGTTGTTAAATTATATGTATTATTATTATATATTTATATTACAAAAATGCTGAATTAATAAAGTTTTATTTTCCTTTATTGACATTAAAATAAATTAAATTTTAAGTATGACTAAAGAAAATTTTATTGATATGCTTTTATTTGTTTATTTTTAAAAAAAATTAAATGGATAAGCATATTCTTATAAAATTTTTTTTAAAAATCAATATTAATGACAAATGTATATTGGCTAATTTATTGTAAACTTACAGATTAAATGGAACTCCAGTATTGCCTCGAGTAAAAATAAATTTATCCAGGAAAAAATATATTCTGATTCTGATTCTGATTCTGATTGGGATTCGTGTGCTGAAAAGGTAAGAATCTGTACTTTTTAAAAGTAATGTCACAAATTAAGCATTATTTTTGTCAATCTGGACTGTTTCTTGCCTGATGAATTAAAGTAGAAAATATATTAAATATCTTATCAGTGGTACAGAGTGTTTTATTTTTTTTAGTTTTTGCATTTAAGGTTAGAGAAATCCTACTATTATATATGGTATCTATACCAAGGTCAGCTATATCTGTAAAGAAAAAATTCTAATGTTGATACCACCAATCGCTGTCTACATACTCATATTGTATATCCACAGACTGCTGTACAAACCCAATTCTCCCACTTTCGCTTATGTCTCTGGCACTTAATTGCCAGCACAGCACATAATAACAGCAAAGCAGCATTTTGACCCTATTGCTCACATGCTTTCCTTATTTCATCCTAGTAGCTATGTATTTACTTATGTTTTAATTATTCTTTACTGTAATAGGTCTTTAGGCCAGATATAATGTCAATTTATCGGAACAAAGTGATTTTATCCCAGAATAAAGTTGATTTTCTATTTCCATTCTATATCTATTTCTAATACTGTTTAACGATTTGTTCACAATTAATCTCAACAATTTTATATGCCCATTTTATTTGCTGTAAAGGTATCATCTCAGTTACATTCACCGGATACATTTTACGCAATTATTGAGGCCATGATGACGAGTGTGTCGAGATGCTGCCAACTTTGACATTCTTGAGTCTTTTGGTGCAGGTTCAAATCTGACCTAGGGTTGTTGAAATATATTGCTTAAAAATGAATAGGGAATATTGTTACTTATGTACGATTTATTTTCCCTAGAATTTTTGTTTTCTTGTTATAATAAAATACATTGCAAATTAATTCAAATAAGATTGTGTTTGGACCTTGGAAAATTTTATGAAAGGTGTTTAAAATGTAATTTTAAGGTGTTTAAAAGTTTTTGTTGTCTTGTTTTTATAATTGTGAATTGTAAGAATCATCGCCTGTTCTCGAAAGACTCTTTGGTGACTTTAATCGCTATAAATACAGAAACACGACTCATCTGTAAACATAACAGCATTCCAATTTGTATTCTCATCTAGGCGCTCACTAAACAATAATCTGCAGTGCTGCTGGTGACGGACTATTGCTGCAGATCGTCATAAGGAGGTATAAAATGTTAGACCAACTTTTCACAAATGATTACGAATGGTTTAAGTTGATATTTTTTCTTTGGCAGAACATCAGACACTTCATTTAGACTCTGTTGAGCACTTAAAAGGATTGCTTCTTGCAGTAATAACAATATTTCTGCCATCCCTTGGTGTTGTAATGCACTAAGATCCACTAACAGTTTTCCTATTGGTTCTTCCGGTATGTCTGAATCTGGCTAAAGCCTGGGAGACCACAATCTGTGAGAAAACAACTGCACTGGCAATATTCACTTGCCCATGCCCTTAACGGCTTATTCTCACGATAATATTGCAAACTTCTGGTTTAATATATTTGTTTGTTATTTCCATATTAAAACAGAATATTACTGGATTAAAATTGTGGAAAGTTGAAATCTATTATTGGTTTACACGATGAGTATTCTTCATGTTGACTATCCTTCAGTTAATAATTTATTAAAAATAAAACTTGTTGTTTTACTTTTTATGTTTACCCACAAATAAGAGAATCCCTAACAAATAAAATAAAATAGGATATTTTAATTAAAATAAATCAAATAAAAATATCCTTATTCATTTTTTAACAGTATATATTTCATGTCAGACCCATTGAATGAATCTTTACCTTCCCACTCTGGTTAGAATAGGTTTAGTTATATCTATAGAACAAGACAGGTGAAAGGAAATCACTGTGTTTCAAACCAGAATGATCTCCAATCTTTTCGAATAAATAATTACTGATTTTAACTTTATTGAATGTTTAAATCGTGCACATCCTTACTTGATTTACTGACTGTTTTGGAATCCTCTGTTGAATAAGAATATTATACAGCTTCTTACTGCAATGGAATCATAAGGCTTTTTTGAAATCAATATAGAACTGATGAACAACACCATTATACTCTAATTGTCCTCAAATATTTGCTGTAAGGAACATATTTGATCGATAGTTGATTTGTTCTGTCCAAATCCTCATTAGTAGTCTCTGATAATTTCCTTGAGGCATCCCTGGACTTAATTATTTAGGATTAATGTGAACATTTCAGAATATGTTGGAAGCAGTGTGTGATAATTATACAATCCATATAATTACAGTCCTTCCTCCATCCCTTTTTGTGAGTCAGAATAAAAGTAGATTCTTTCCATTCTATTTTCTCATTCTCTCTGATGTCTTAACCCACAAATTGTATTGTTATAATACTTATAACAATAAAGTTTGTTGTATTATAAATATTTTAAAAACTAGTTTCCCTGCTTGGCTTAATTATTACACTAGGAATATTATTTGTTTCCCCTGATTTATAAGATTTTAATTTTCCAACAACTGTTTCAACTTCCTGTTTACTTCCGGTTCTTATATTAACTGTTCAGAACTCTGGTCTGGTACTCAGAAGTAGGATATCATTGTATCATATATTATTAGAATATCATTATTTCCCATATTTAAAATATTGTTGAAGTGTTTCTTTTACTTACTTAATATGTTAGATCGATTTTCTTTTCTGTACTATCCAGATGATGTCAGTCAGCATATTGTTATTTTTATCCCCAATTCCATTCCTTTACAATACCCGTGTGTAATGATGTTTTGACACCTTTGTTCATGTCTCTTAAATTATTTTCCACTCTATTATTTTATATTTTCATTATTTTATTTTTAAGATACTCTCTTATTTTACTTTTACTTTTTTGAGCAATTTAGTTGTTTTATTCTTCAAGGCTCAGAAGTGGGCAAGATAGTATTCACCAGGCTCATGCAGAGTTTTTAATTTGTTTTTTTCTTTTTTCATGTTTGGACAATCTTCATCGAACCAGGATTTGTTCTTTTTATTACCTCTTTTCCTAGACATGAGTTATCGAACTCTTTAATATTATCCCTGATCTTTATCCATAACTTGTCTATTTTATTATGATCTTTGTTAAAAGGTTCTAATCTTTCAAACCTATTCTTAAATTCTGACTCAAATTGGTTTCTAATTAATGGATTTTTATTTCTCATTAAAATGTTTGCTCTCTTGGTCAGCGAGTCCATCAGACTTAATTGGGAGGAACTTTGTAGGAGTTTCCACTGACCTTCCTTGCATACAATTATTTTCTAATTTAAGTTATATAGAATTAAATTAGTACACAATTCAAGATAATAGGGATGAAATATGTGAGGCAGTCCTCTAATAGAGATAGAAAAGTTTAATGGAGGGATAGCTCTAGCACACAGGAAAGTTTCAGTGATGTATTTCTGCAAGATGATGGGACACTGTTACCTTCAAACACTATAACCTTGTATAGGATTCGAGTTGTAGAAAGCATGATGTGCCCTCTGCGGGGAATGAGATGTGTCACCTGTAATTATCAGTATACCCTGCACTATCTGATATTCTCAATAATGGAAATGTTTCTGATGCAACAGACACGGCTACTTGCTATGGAAGTTATAACATCTGATTGGACTGTGCTATCATTGGCAAAGTTATATTAGTTTGTCAGAAGCCAGATGTCGTTTTTGTCAATGGCATTAAATATAGCGATATTTAAATGCATGTTGGAAAAATTTGAAACATGTATTGTGATACAAGGAGATCTCAAAAATATTTTTAAAAATACAAAAAGTTAAATAGCCCAGTATTTTAGTCGAAAAAGCTATTTATTAGTGTTAATTGTATAACATCCGCGGTAACAAGGTTAAATTTTCTACAAGGTTTATATAAAATATTTATAATTTCTCCCAACACCCTGCAAGAAATATTAAAATAAATAGCTATGTTAGTCAAAGTGGAATCCAAATGGAAAAATTACTCTCAAATTATCCATTCTTCATTGGATACCACCTTGGTGTTGCGAAATCTTTTGCCAATTAGTCGGCTGCTTTTTACTACAATTTTTTATTACATTTAATAATGCTATGATTGATGAGCCTTGTTTCATTTTACTATGTTTATTGTTTTGTTTTTTTCATTAACCATGTATGCTTGAATTTTACTGTTACCATTATTTTTAAAAGTTATTTTATAACATTCAAAGGGAAAAAGTGAATTTTGGAGACGTAAAATGAGAACCTTTCATGGAATTCTAGACATAAATAAAGATGGAGTTATTTCTTTTGATGACTTCAAGATATTAGTTGACCGATTCATTTATCTTGGTCATTTAGATCTACATCAGCAAAAAGAATTCAATGAAGTTGTACAGGTATTTTTACTTTATTTAAAAATTAATAAGATATTTCTTATCAAATCAGAAAGATATTTCTCATTAATTTAAAAGTAAAATTTGAAAAGCATTTGAATTGTGAAATGAGATTAATTATATTTATAGATTACATAATAGCATAGAGTCACCGTCTCGGTCTGAGAAGAAGGATGGGGTGGGTTCTACTTTTCCCACTACAGTAACCCTTGCAGCTCTCAATCTCTATAAGATCATTTAGTCTTATTTATTGCAAATATTCCTGACATGTTTATTTTATAAATAAAAACATATAGTGCTAGCATACATTTATCAATTATTCAATCAGCTTTCAAGCTGATGAAATAGATTTTGTATATTTTGTCCACTATTACTAAAAAACAAAACTGGATTACAAGTGATAACTGTTCTGTTGTTTTCAATGATTGCCATTCTTATTTGTAGTAATTGTTTTATTGCTATTATTATTGCTACTAATTTTTATGTGATGAATTTCTAGATTTTTGGTAAAAGTTGGACGTGTTTTTATTCAAGTTCTAGAAAAAAAAATTTCGTTAAATGAAAAAGAAACAGTAGTCTGGGTTAAATTAGAGTTATAATTTGTCATACATATATTACTTATGATTCTAATGTGCTGTTTGTTTGAATAGCTATGAATAAATGTAATTTTAAGGTAATGGCGCCCCCCCACCCTCTGGCATCGACTTATTGTAAATTTTCGGTTTTAATCGATATCAGGGTCGACTATAATGTTTTCGGGGTAGCTTATTATGAAAATTCAATCGAATTTGAGATTGCGCCCCTCCCTCCTCCCTCCAATCGACTTTTAGCAACTATTCCGATTTAATCGATATCAGGGTGGCCTTTTATGTTTTTGGGATATCTTTTTCAAATTCGACTGTATTTTCATAATAAGCTACCCCGAAAGCATGAAAGTCGATCCTGATATCGATTAAATCAGAAAAGTTACAAAAATCCGATGTGGGAGGGTGGAAGGGCGCAATCTCAGATCTGACATTATTTTCATAAAAAGTGCCCCTAAAAACATAACAGTCGACCCGGATATCGATTAAATCCGAAAGGTTACTAAAAGTCAATTAGGCACGGGGGGGAGGGGGAGGGGGTAGGACACAATCTCAAATTTGATCGTATTTTCATAAAAAGCGCCCCCAAAACCATAATACTCAACCCTGATATCGATCAAATCATGAAAGTTACAGCAAGTCGATGCTGGTGGGTGGGGGGGGGGCACAATATCAAATTCGACAGTGTTTTCATAAAAAGCGCCCCCAAAAACATTATAGTCGACCCTGATATGGATTAAATCCGAAAAGTTACAAAAAGTTGATGTGAGATGGTGGGGGGGGGAGGCGCAATCTCAAATTCGACAGTATTTTTATAATAAGCGCCCCCAAAAACATAATAGTCGATACTGATATCGATTAAATCTGAAAACTTACAAAAAGTTGATGCTGGAAGGTGGGGGGGAAGCGCAATCTCAAATTCGACTGTATTTTCATAATAAGCTACCCCGAAAACATTATAGTCGATCCTGATATGGATTAAATCCGAAAAGTTACAAAAAGTTGATGCTGGAGGGTGGGGGAGGAGGCGCAATCTCAAATTCGACCGTATTTTCATAATAAGCTACCCGAAAACATTATAGTCGACCCTGATCCCTGATTTAAAAGTTTATACAATACAAAGTTTATACAATTATAAGTACAAAAAGTTTATGTGAGATGGTGGGGAGGCCGCAATCTCAAATTTGACATTATTTTTATAATAAGCTTCCCTGAAAACTTAACAGTCGACCCAGATATTGATTATATCCGAAAAGTTGATCAGATTGATTATTTCACAACATTATTCCTGAAATAATTTATTCCCGAAATAATTATTTCGGAAATAATGGTTAGGTTATTTCATGAAATAAATTATTTCGGAAATAACTATTGAGGTTTATTTAGGGATTTATTCCGGGAATATTTTTCAAATAAATTCTGCCCAGGTCTAGTACACAATGAGCTGACAAATGACAATCAAATAGTGACATGCATAGGAACCACATTACTTTTTGATCCTCCTAATATAATAATCGCTTTTCCCGACCTACTCTTTCTCAAAATAAAAAAAAAAATTGATATTAAAAAAAACAAGTCTAATTGGTTCCAGATATGCTTCCTTAAGCAAAAATTATTTATATAGCTATTAAATAATTTTAAAATAATTAATAAAAGGTACACACACAAAAAGTTCATTATAAATTTATTGAAAATCATATCAATGATGACACTTATGGTTATGTATTGTATATTAATGGCCTGAAACTTAGGCCAAAATTTTGGCACAAATAAAATAAATATAATTTTTTTTTTGTATATCAAATGACTGCTATCCCTAACCAACTTCTTGTATAAGGATCAACAGTCAACATGAATTACAAATAATGTTAGTGAAATGTTGCAGTACACAAACATTATAGACTTTTAAATGCTAAAAAAATGCAAAACATTCATGACAAATGTTGTTGTTTTTTTCCCAATAACTTTAAAATACTGAAATTTGGAGAGTCAATAGCTCCAGCAATTGTGAAAGTTATAACAAAAGTCACTTGTAAAATTAATATTAGCTTGCTAATCACATATAACAGGAAAACTCATCTTTAAATTTCAAATCTTGATTTTTTTAAAATAAAAGTGTTCAACCTTCAAACATACCCATTTAAAAATAAATTTATAATGAAATCACTGGAAAAAAACAAAAAGACAATAAAAATTGTAAACAGGTGAAGAAAACATTCTTTGAAGATTGTTAGAGTGGGGGAAGCTTCCATTTATACCCCTGAAGGCCACTCTATGTTATTCTGTACTATTTATGGTTTATATGATATTACATATTATATGAGATAAATTAATGTATCTCCTGACTTTTCTTCGTACTGTTCAATTAAATTATTCCTGCAATGAAATCTGTTCAACTTTTTTTTTTCTGCTTAAGGCATTCTTAGTAATTATTTATTAATAATGTTTTAGAGATGTATGACATAATAACAATATGATAAGTTAACAAAAATTATTTATTATAAATATAACGATATTTCTGTTTACTTGATTTTAATATTTTTTTTTTTTGGAGTGCTACCAATGGATAGTTTCTCTTCATATGGTACATGGCAAGTTACTTATTTCATATTTACTAGTTGTATTTATCATTATACAGTTGTAAATTTCAATAATAAAAATAAAAAATAAAAATATTCTTCTTTATTATAAACCAATTGTGTAAATATGAAACCAAAATTCATCCATAGGTGGGTCTAGTTGTTAATAAAGTTATTATTATACCACATTATTCGCATCATTTTGTTTTTTCAACAAAGATTTTCAACTCACACCAATAAATGTTTCATATAATAGCATCGTTTTAATATTGTTAAACATGTTGAGTTTTGTGTCTACAAACAATGATTTACAGATAGCTTTAGATTTTTGTTACCATTTAAAGAAAACTGCTGCAGAATAACATTTAATGCTTGTCGAAGCTAACGGAAAGCATGGCTCTTGGTAAATCACAATGCTTTGAATGGTATGACCAGATTAACAATAATAATTAATATAATTCTATTGCCATATGTTAGATATATAAAAGGAATATACAAACAAATATTTTAATATAATATTAGACACTTTTATTATATTTATTTATTTATTCTCCCTTCCTTACCCTTGGGTAAAATGGGTGTCCATCATTCTACCAGGCTGGTGCATCGTTCTGCTTCTTCTCTTATTCCGGGTCTGCTGTTAGATACCACTACAGCCGCAAGATCATTGACATCAGCCACTGCTGGGAACCGCTCTTCATCGAGAACTCCCAACTACTCATCAAATATTAGCTTCCATAGGGCTGGGCCAAGGACCGAACCCTGAGAACATCCCCTCTCTATGGAAGCTTCTATCTCGTAGGAACTCCCTCAAATCTTTACAAACCTGTCCTCGAGGTAGCTTCTAACTAGGGCGTATATGTTGCTGGGGGCTTCGTACTTCTGGAGTTGCTGTAGTACCAAGGGCCACCAGACACTATCAAAGGTGGAGAATATATCAAAGAGCAGCAACATAACGTATTGCTCCGCCTTCTGTTCAACGTCTGTACGAACTCGAAGCATGGCATCAGCGGTTCCCCTTCCTTTTGTAGAACCGTATTACCATCGATGCATTCGCTTGTGTAAGAACTGGTTGTAAGCTGGTTAATATAAGGTGCTCCAGGACCTTGCTCATCACAGGAAGGAGGCATATAGGCATATATGAGCTGCTTATCCCTGCCTCCTCCCTTGTAGAGGAGTCTCAAATCGGCGATCTTCCATTTTTTTGGGAAGTATCACCTATCTATGCAATCATTGAAGATTGTCAATAGCCGATCTTCTATATAGGGATACTGTTTTTCAAGATCACCGCATCGATACCATCCAGTCCTGGTGCACGACCAGCTTTCTGCTTATCCACGGCAAAACGAAGGTCATATATGTCCCATGGTGTGCAAAAGTCCGTGCCTGGCGGGTATATTGTAGTTCAGAGGCATCACAAATGATATTGGTAACTCTGGTCGCTCTATTGTCCAAATCATCTGCTAACTCAAATGTCCCCACTTCCCAATCCTCGTCGGCAACCTTTTTCTTCAGCATACACTGGAAGACATTCCAGTTGCTTATGTGGGTTACATAGCCCTTTTCGATACCTTGGGAATGTCTGACATCTTGTTCTTGACTAAATGCCAGGACCTTGTGGTTGGAACTCGTTTCAGATCGGAGGGCCCAATTGAAAAGTTGTAATATAAGCCACTTGCACCACAAAAAATATAAAATGTTCCTTTAATCTTTACTTAATTATAAACGGAATATGTACATATATGAGTACCTACCTAAGTCCAGTCCAGCAGCAGATACAATTGGCTATTATATTTCTGTTTACTGATGTTGCAAAACAATTTGGACATCAATCTCTCTACTCCAACATCTAAAAATGATAGAGGAAGACGTTAACGTGAGAATATCCAAAAATTATCCATGGTAGACTAGATTCAAAATGAGAGACTACCCCCGGTACTAAAAATCATTAAATATATCTCTATAATTTACCCTTTTGTAAATAATTGGAGTATTAAATAAAAATGAATCCTCACCAATACAACAGAAAGCCTCTCCTTGGACTTCTCAAGCAATTTTCTCAGGTATATTATAGGTGTAGTAATAGAAATACGGCATTACAAAACAAGTATGCTATGCGAAAACGAAAGACAAGTGACTATTCACAATCACCTGTTACATAAATAATTGTAACCATGGGTTGCCATGTTACAATCGTTTAAAAAGTTCAAGGGTGGTGATTTTTGAGAAATAAAAAATATAGGTGTGATTTATGATGAGCTAAAACCTATTATTATTATGCTAAAACCTGGTGAAACTGTTAATACTAAACGCTGTCGACTATCAATGATCTATTTGAATTAAGATTGTGTGGAAAACAACCAGAATATCAAAAAAGCAACTCTAAGTGAGTTTGCTTCATGATCAACTATCACACGCAATGAAACCCGTAAAGGAAAAGATTAAGCTGTTCAGTTGGGAAATATTAGCACATGTGGTTTACTCACCAGACTTGGCTTCATCAGTTTACTGCTTCCTTGCATCAATGGAGCACGCACTTCTCAATAGCACTTAACTTATGAAAATGTTCAAAAATGGCTTGATGACCGATTTGCCACAAAACAGCAACAGTTTTTCTGGCATGGCATTTATAAATTCCCAGAGAGATAAGAAAAATGTATAACTAGCAATGGACAATATTTAAAAAAAATATTTTTTAACAATTGTATATAATAAATGTGTATTTTCTTTACAAAAATTCTAGTTTCATATTAACATACCAGTTAAATTTATCTTATTCTGATCTCATAGTTATTAGTATGTGTTATTACTTGTTTAGAATATGTGGGAAGAAAGATGGGGTACTATCAATCCTTACAATTTAGTAACCACTGAACAATACCTGGAAGACATGCATCATGTTGTTAATGATCGTCAATTGAGGCAAAAAGTTCATAACTTCCTGCCATATCTTTTCAAGGTAAATTAGGGATAATTTTTTTTTCCTTTTTCATTTGAAGTATTATTGTGTGTATTTTGTCATTTTTTTTGTTTTTAGGCTGTTGATAAAGACAAAAATGGATATATCACTGCTGAGGAATATAAATTATTTTTTAATTGTTTAGGACTTCCTAAAGAAGTAAGTATGACTTATAAATAGAGTGCACGTTTGTTATGAAGCTGGTAACCACATTTCTGTAAAGAGAGAAAAGTATGAGTCATTTAAGGGCAAAAAGTCATGAAATATATTTATAATTGAAAATTAAATGAAATATTATTATATAAAAAAAGTTCACAATATTATAAAAAGTAAAGTTGATATTTTAAATTGTTTAAAGTAAACTGTCACTCTTAATGTGGTAATATCAACAATTATTTGCTTTTGTTTATCAGTTATATAAGTTTTTGTATTTATATTATAAATTTTAAGATATTATGATCGTATATCGATTTATTTTAATTTTTCAAATTCCTTCAACATTAGGGTTCATAATTATTTGTGTTATCAAAGGTGCATTTTAACATACATAATCAGTGCAACAACCCACTAGCAAGTCTTAGTTCTTAATCAGTCTCCTCCAGGCTGCTCCAGTGTTGTGCTGCAACTGTCTATTTCCTGGTGCTCAGCTAATTGCTTTCATCCACTTCCACACCTTTTATTTTTTATTAGATAACCCGCTACCCAAAATTTCTGGCATACAGGAGGAGAGGGGGGGTGTTCTAGAGGTACATCCAAACCTATTCTAACCAGAGTGGGATGGTCAAGTTCCATTCCATGGGTCTGCCACTAGAGATGGGCACATTCGTTTCTTTCAGGGAATCGGGTCAGTCCTGATCGTTCTGTTTTAGGACCCATTCATTTTCATTCGTTCATCATTCACTAACCGTTGCATTTTAATTTTTTAATCCGTGTTCACACAAGGGTGGATAGTGTACTGGAACAGTTACAGTGATGACAGTTTTGGCTAGGCTAGGGTTAGAATGACCTACATAAATTAGCCCCAATCATCAGTTTATTACCTGTAATATAATATAATCATTAGTTGTAATGCTTATTTAACTGTTTTTGAAGTTATTGTTTAAGTGGATAAGAGAGAAATATTAGAAAATCAGTGAAACTCTGGTCTTTTCATAAAATTTGAAGAAAGTCCTATGTTGCAAAACTTTACAACAATCACATTTAATGATATAAGTATTTACAGTAGTGGTAGTACTGTTGCACTATAGGACTTGACTAGATAGTTGACAGTAATTGTGGCATAAGTGAAATGTCTCACTGACCTAACCCCCTAGCCAACCTAGCACTAGCGGGTCCAGGTTTTAATTTTGGGGGGGGGGCTTCAGCCCGAAAGATTTTTTTTTTCATATACATATAACGATCCTCGCGCGGGCTCATTACCGCGTATGGGGAGCGTCCCACGGGTGGCGGATGTGGGGATGGTCGGTGGAAATTCCTTGGAAGTTCCTCCCGGCTAAGTCCGATGGACTCGCTGACCAACAATGAGAGGGGCCCTCCAGACTTGCTGGAGGGTGTGACGTAGGATTGAACGCCCTACTCACTATATCTTTAGTTCACCAAACACCACAAAAAGTCATGGATCTCCCTAAGGTAAAACGCTCATTATCCGGAGTTAAACTAGTCCCCCGTTCGGGTCTCCGGGTGGGGACTGCTTTAGGGGATTCATGGCGCAAGTTGAAATATAGGGATTTAAATATTGCTACGTGGAACGTAAGGAGTTTAAACACAGCAGGGGGACTAAAATCGGTCGCGAATGAGGTAAATGGGTACAATTTGGATGTCGTGGCTCTGCAGAGGTTCGCTGGCCAGGGGAGGGCTCGATGAGGGAAGGGAAGTACACTATTTGGTACGGAGGAAGCGGGAATCATTGTTTTGGTACCGGGTTTTAATTAGGAGTAGATTACTATCCGCTTTGAGGGACGTACAATTCTTTAGTGATAGAATTTCGGTAGCTACATTTCAGGGACGTTGGTTTAAAATCGCATTAATAAACATACATTGTCCGACCGAAGACAGTGACGATGAAGTCAAAAGTGAATTTTACCATAAACTCGAATGGGTTTATGATAAACTACCGCGAAACTACATGAAAATAATTGTAGGTGAGGCGAACGCAAAGGTAGGAAGGGAAGAAGTTTATATTCCGACGATTGGTAAAGAAAGTTTGCACGAATATAGTAATGATAATGGGATCCGTCTGATAAACTTTGCCATCTCGAAAAACCTGATAATTAAAAGTACGACGTTTAAACATAAGGATATTCATAAATATACTTGGACATCACCGGATTCGCAAACACGAAATCAAATCGATCATGTCTTGATACAACACAGCTGGCAAAGCAGTATAATTAATGTACGGTCTTATCGCGGAGCAGAATGTGGGTCGGATCATGAATTAGTAATCGCGAAACTTCGGCAAAAACTTAATATAAAAAAGAGAAAAGAAAACCGTTTCGATTTTGAGAATTTTAATTTGGAAAAATTAAAAAATCCATCAATTAGAAACCAATTCGAGCTAAATGTTAAGAATAGGTTTGAAGCTTTAGAGCTTCCTGACGAGGACCACGAGGATATTGACAAGGTATGGGTAGAGATCAGGGATAATATTAAAGCGGTCGGTAACTCGTGTCTAGGAAAAAAAGAAAATAAGAATAACAAACCGTGGTTTGATGAAGATTGCTTAAACATGTGTGAAAAAAGAAAAGCCGCTAAATTAAAAGCTCTAAATAATCCTAGCGAAGACAATCTGGAATACTTCCGAATCTCAAAGAACGAAACGACAAGATTGCTCAAAAATAAAAAAAGGGAGTATCTTAAAAATAAAATAATTGAAATAGAAACTAATAGAATCGAAAATAACGTAAGAGACATGTACAAAGGTATAAACAGATCACGTAAATATGTAGGGCTCGTAACGTCTGGAATTAGGGATGATAATAACAATATTCTGACCGATCCGGTTGACATAGTGAATAAGTTTAAGGACCACTTTGACAATATTTTAAATACGGGAAATTATGATCTGTGTCCTCCTTCTGAGTACCAGAGTGCTGAACCATTAATAGAAGGACCAAGTAAAGAGGAAGTTGAAGTAGCTATCGGAAAATTAAAATCATATAAAGCAGCGGGAATCGATAATATTCCTACTGAACTAATTAAGGCATGCGGGGAAGCTGGAGTTTCTAAAATACATCGGTTGGTTAAAAAGATCTGGGTGAATGAGAAATTACCTGAATAATGGAAAGAATCTATTCTTATTCCGATTCACAAAAAGGGTCCGAGGACGGATTGTAATAACTATCGAGGAATTTCACTCCTTCCGGTATGTTATAAAATATTCACTTTAATCTTAACCAGTCGAATCACGGGATACGCCGAGGAAATTATCGGAGACTACCAATGCGGATTTAGACGGAATCGTTCGACTATTGATCAAATATTTTCTTTACGGCAAATATTAGAGAAAAAATTGGAGTATAACGGTATTGTTCACCAGCTGTATATAGATTTTAAAAAGGCTTACGATTCTATTGACCGCCAGAAACTGTATAATATTCTAATCGAGCAGGGGATTCCAAAAAAACTAGTAAATCTAGTCAGGATGTGCTTGACGGAGACACTCAATAAAGTTAGAATCGGTGATAATTTGTCCGAAACATTTGAGGTTTGTTCGGGCTTAAAACAGGGGGATTCTCTTTCGCCTGTCCTGTTCAATTTGGCATTAGAACATGCCATTAGGGAGGTAATGCGAACCGAGAAAGGGTTGGATCTGGGCGGGACAACATCCGTGCTGGGCTATGCTGATGATCTGGTACTGTTAAGCGAAGACGTTGAAACTATAAAACTAAATACGACAACGTTAATGAAAGCCGGTAAAGAACTAGGACTCGAAAAAAAAAAACGTGGATAAAACAAAATATATGGTTAGCTGCAAAAATGGCGATACTACTGGTGATATCGATATAGATGGTAATATGTTTGAACAGGTAGATAAATTTAGGTATCTAGGTTCTACAATAACTAGAAAAAACGAAATTGAAGAAGAGATTAAGGTTAGACTGAAGGCGGGAAATGCTTGTTATTTTTCTGTGACAAAACTACTTAGTTCGCGCCTCTTGTCCCGTAACTTAAAAATTAGAATCTATAAAACAATTATCTTGCCTACAGTTCTTTATGGATGCGAAACTTGGCCACTTACATTAAGGGATGAGCAGCGTCTGAAGGTTTTTGTAAATAAAGTATTGCGTAGAATATTCGGACCGAAGAAGGATGAGTTAACCGGAGAGTTCAGACGGTTACACAACGCCGAATTGCGTGAGCTGTATCCGGGTAATATAATTGAGGTAATTTCATCGTGGCGAATCAAATGGGCTTGTAAAGTTGTTGGGCTTAGTAACGAGAGGATTCCTAAAAGGTTAATATTTGCTGTGCCGAATGGTAAGCGTCCGAGGGGTAGACCGAAGCGAAGGTGGGAAGATTGCATTAAAGCCGATCTGAAGGGACTGGGTTTGGACGGCGAACGGTGGAGGGAGGTGTGTAACAAGCGATTGGTGGTGTCGGCATCGAACCTTCGGGTTCGCTAAGCCTTATTATTATTATTATTATACATATAACGATAATTAATTTGAAAAAAAAATGAAAAAAATTAATTACCTATATGAAACAGTGTTTAAGTTGTTCTTGAAGTCTTATTAAATATAATTACACGAACAAGAATACCGTAAGAGATAGTATTTAATCTTTTTTTCTGTAACACATGGTTATATTTTACCATTTTGGGGGGGCTTCAGCCCGAAAGAATGAAATTAATTTTTTAACTAAACATTATAAAATTAGATGTACGTATATAGGAATGCTTCAATTTTGATAAAATTTAAATTGAAAATACTTTTAAAGAACTACATTATCTCAACATGCTTTCTATTACAAAAACATTTACTTCATTGTCACACTCAAGAATAATGTAGCATTAAAATTTCGTTAACCAAAACTACTTCATTATGAAAAATGAACTTAAAATAGGAAATAATTTATTTAACAATAACTATTGATTTTTTAAATATTTTTTTAGATATACACTGACAGGCAAAAAATTCCACCCACTTGTTACCCATTAAGGAACCACGTTGAAAAGGTTGGCTCTGGGAAAAATTACAGGCTGCATATCTTTCGTTTCTTCTTCTACCCTTTCACGATCATCTGGAGATCGAAGAGCGAATCTTGACTCATCTGTATAAAGTACAGCACTCCATTCGTCCATAGGCCAATGGCTGTGTTCTCGAGCAAAAGCCAGCCATGTTACTCTGTGAGTTCTGGTCAACTCTGGTCCTCTTACTGGACGAAAAGCCATTAATCCATACTCATTTAATCTTCTCCGAGCGGTACGTTCAGAAATTTGCACACTTCGAAATCCGAACTTCTTCAAACTGATGAATCGCTTGAACAACGGTAATGTGAAGGTTTCGTAAAATTCTCAAAGTAAAAAACCGGTCATCCCGTGGTTCTGTTACCCTAGGCCGTCCAGAACCTGGCCTTCTATTGTAAGAACCAGTTTCCCGAAAACTGGTAAAGTCTCGTAAAGTTTCATATGGATCTCCTATGGCATTAGCTGAATATCTAATGGAACGTCCATCATCAATAAGTGCCACACCACGCGCAACATCCTCAGCACTAAGAGCCATTTTTAAACTTAATATTGAAAAAATTAAAAGCCGGAGACTAAGAAATGTGCTGCAAGAAACGGCACTGAACTAATGATACTGAATAAACATTTTGATTCCATAGAAAGTAAACATTGGAATCTAGAATCATTTCATTGAATTAAGGGTTATTGTCCTTTATATTAGCATTCCTAATTGAAAACAAACAAAAAGATTACCTATTTATTCATTAAAAACAATAGACCAATCCAAAGCAGAAATATTTTTAGATGAAAACATAAAAAAATCAAGTAGGTGGAATTTTTTGCCTGTCAGTGTATATTGAGAATAAGGCAGGGCATAATAAGTAAAATAAATAAATATAAAAATATGTTATGATCTTTAATTTAATAGGTTACATCTGATGATAAAAAAAAACAAATAGAAGTTATGTATATTTGTTATCATAAAACATAATTTTGATTACAAAACAATACAAGTTTACTATAAAATGTGAGTAATACTCGCTCGAAGGTTAAAATTTAGATTATTTTCAAAAAACGTGTCTCCAATAATATAATAATGGACCTTAATATTGGAATTGGATCCTAATAATCTAAGAAATTGGAAAAGTCTCAATAAATCGATACAAAATAGCACAATCTTTAAATTGATACTATTTCCATAAAAAATACCTCCAATAATCCAATAATAAACCTCAATATCGAAGAAATCTGATTAGTTAAAATAAATTGATATGCTGTTATACTAATTATACGATCCTTTTTTACCGTTATGAATATATCAGTTGGTAGTAAAGGTTTATAAATGCAACTTATTCAAATAATAATTTAGAACCTTTAAAATATAATAAAATTTTGTTTCAATTGTAATAATGGGTTAAGAAATTCTAAAATAAAAAAGAAATCCAATGTTAAAAAATTATTGCAATTACTGGACTAGCTTAACTTTAACCGTTGTTTACTCAAAACTTAGTTTTTTTCACTTGTACCACTTTGCTTCTAGGGTCGGTAGACTCATATAAGGTATTTCTGGAGCAATTCGTGATAGTTTCAACATGTGTTTGCTTAGACTCTTTATTGATTATTTTAAATTAATTTTTTGGAGTTGTTTCTCCTTTATTTTTCTTTAAAATTCACTCTTCCACTTCAAAATGTTGCTTATTTTCATTAGAAACCCAACAATTTCATGAGAAAAAGTTATGAATATTATTTTTTTCATGGTAGGGATATCTTTTGTAAATAATTCCAACAAATATGGTTTGCACAGCTGTATCATTGAATCGTTCATCTTGCTTTTCGAACTATCCCATTTTCTTTGTTTCTCTTATATAGTGACATATATTGTCTCTTCTTTATAGGTTTTAGATAGAGTAGCTGTGCTTAGACATAGCAATAACTCAGAACAAACAGTATTAGTGGTGCACTATCTTGTTTCTCCTTTTCAAAGCAGTCCTGTAATCTTTTAAACAAAAACTTACGATTGCAAATTTAATATGACATTTCACATCATTTAAAACATTTACCAAGCCCTAATCTTCATTTCACTGTGGTGTGGTAAAAAACTTATATTGAATATTATAATATATATATTTTAATTTTAGCAACATTCTATGTGTTTGATGACCTTATTTATTTTTGCTAAATACAAAACCTTGTGCTAAGTTTTTTTTAATAACTAGGTATAATTAAAAAAAATCAAAATAATATAATTATAACAGGTGAATTAAAATGGGATTTAAGGTGTCAAGCAACAGGAGGGAATGAGATGGTGCCTCTTCCTGAGTAGTGAGCAGAGGGTGGGGAATTGTGTTAAGATTATTTTATTTTACACATATTTTATTGATCCTTAGATCCATTAGAAAATCTTCCTAAATGTATAAGGCCAGTCTTACTTTTGTTTGTTTCTAGGTATCTCTGGTTTCCTTTACTGCAGTTGATGAAAATCTTGATGGACGAATAACCTTAAAAGAGTTTGTAAAAACAGGTAGAGATTTTTTTCTGACTGAGGATCAGAGAAAGCCTAGTAAATTATTTTGGGGGCCTCTTGTAAAATAACCTTTAATGTTACCTATATGTAACTATTTTTATAACAAACAATGTTTCAAAATTATTATTGTTTGAATTTCTACATTTTTAATAAAATATTGACTTGTTATTTTTTAAATATTACTATTTTTACTATATTTTTATAACATTCATTGTTTCAAAATGGTTACTCTATGAATTTATACATTATAAATAAAACATTGACGAGTTATAATTTTATTTTCCTTTAGAAAACTTAATTAAAAGAAACATAAGAATACAAATTTGATTGATATAGTAATAATTTTAAAAAAAAAATGAAAAAATAATCTTTATCTTAGATATTAGTATAGACATGTAAGAATAGCTTGAATGTACAGATCAGAGTGGTTTACTTTGGTGGTTCCTTAAGGAATGGCATGGTGCTATTGATCTTAATCACTATTTCTTATGATAATTATCAAGAAATATTTAATAAAAATTAGTAAAAAGTAGTTAAATGATATTAAATCTGTAATATATTATTTATTCCAGGTTTAATTGTTTTACTTTTCCAAAGTTTGTTTTTCTGGGTGATATTTAGAATAGTTGATAAACTTCCTTCAATATAGTTTGTTTTTGTGTTTATCAGTTTTCCAATTACGTGCATTGCCTATATTAATTATGGCATGCATAGGTCACAAGGACCTTATTAAAAAACTTAATTTATTAATTTAAAATATACTTAATAAAGGGATGATATGTCTTTAAAAAGATGAAGATACAAATTAAGGTTTAAACAATACTCTAAATAATTAATGAAGAGAAGGATAGTTGGGGTTATCAGTCAAAAATAAATAATGAATGCCTGATGAAGGTCTGAACTTTAGGTCGAAACTTTAGCAAATGTTAAAATGAATATTATTATTTATTTTTGCTAGTTTTATTTTTGACTGATCACCCCAACTATCCTTCCCTTCGTTATTCACTATAGTCAACCATCAACCCACAACTCTAAATAAATATATGATTCAGCTGGAAGGATTTAAGAATACTGCCACAAAATAATTATACATTAATTTGCTATTGCTTTTGAAAAAAATATAAATAGTTATGATATAACTTGGCTGATTAGATTCTAACCTGATGTGGTGAGCTGGGGTTGTTCATCTGCGAGAGTCCAGTTCATGTATCGGATTGCCTCTATCAAGACAGATATCCACTATGTTTGTGAACCTCCGTCACTCAGCGCTCCTGTCAAGTGGATACATTCTGCACTCCCAGCATGTAACATATTGAGCTCTCTGATGGCTGTCTGTTTTTGCATAAACTCACACACACACACACACATATATATATATATATATATATAAAAAGATGAAGTAATATACAAGATAAGTAAAATAACAGATTAAAGCCGAATGGTAATAAAATAAATAAAACATTCACAGCTATGTACAAAATTTACATTGGCCCAGGGAACTCTGAATCCAGCTTTGTCCCCCAAATGTGGAAGCCAAAGCAGGACTCCAGAAGATCCCAACCACGTCACTGGTATTGTAAGCCAGTGGAGACTGATGGAAGGCACTAGATCAACAGACGCTCAGGACTTGAGTGAAGAATCTGGCCAGTGCCAGTACTCCGCACGCCCACTGCCATTTTAACCTCAGAGGAGGATTGTAGGGATGACTGGAGCTAGATAGAGACTGTGCTACAGGATTAGGATGATGAGTGAGATTCTGGTGAAATTTGGAAAATTTCAAATAGGTCAAGTACAAATGGGATATTAATGTCATTATGTAGGATTTTATTGGTTACATAAAAGAGAGCATCAACTATTGTTCGAAGAACTTTAGACTGGAAGGATTGAATGCGTTTGATGTTAGAAAGTTTTGCTGTCCCCCACAGTTTGAGTGTGTAGGTCCAGATAGGTTTCAGGATTGTTTTGTAGATTAATAGTTTGTTCTAAACTGAAAGTTGAGTTGTCTATATAGTTAGCCATATCGTGGATTAAGCTGTTGTCTTTTAAGTTTAGTATGTGGGTTCCATGTTAGTCTTTTGTCTAGACGGAAGCCAAGATACCAAACTGTGCCGGAGAGGAAAAGTGGTATGGAATTGAAATAAACTGGTGGACACAACTTGTGCCAAAGGGTGAAGGTGGTGTGTTTGGATTTGGATTCATTTACTTGGATGCGCCACTTATTACACCAGTGTTTAATAAGAGAGAGGTGACTTTGTTGGTTAAAGGATGCTGTTTCGGGATCTGAACTGGAAGATAGGATGGCTGTGTCATCAGCGAATGTTGCCAGGAGGGTTTTGGGATGAGTAGGAATATCAGCGATAAAGAGAATGTAAAAGATAGGACCCAAGACGCGCTCCCTTGAGGAACTCCCGCCTCACTGGAATAACAGTTGGAAAATTCAGTTCCACAACAGACTTAAAAGGAGCGGTCAGAGAGTAAGATCGAATTACTAGATATAAGGACTGAGGCAGATAGGTTTTAAGCTTGAAGAGCAATCTGGTGTGCCATACCCGGTCAAATACTTGTGCAATGTCCAGAAATGCACCCGAACAATATTGCTTGCTTTCTAGGGCTGAGGATATATGGTCAACAACTCTGAGGCCTTGTTGGACAGTGGAAAGTTGTGAACAAAATCCGAATTGGTGGGTAGGAAGGTTTTGAAATTCTATTATGGGTAGGATTCCTTTCAGTAGTCTTTTCAAATATTTTTGAAAGGATGAGAAGTAGGCTTATTGGTCTATAGGATGTTGTGTTATTAGGTTTACCAGGTTTCAGAAAAAGGATGATGACAGAGTGTTTCCATAAGAGAGGAAAGTGAATGGTTCGTAGGATACAAGTGATGAATGTGATTGCTTTAGATGGAAGTCGCCGAAGGATCTGTGCGATTAGAAGGTCGTATCCAGGAGATTTATGGGGAGATGGTTTTTGTAAATGATGTTTGACCTCAGAAGGATTAACTGCTTTTCGTGCTAAGGAGAGTGGGATGGGTGAAGAGAGGATTTTTTCTACTTTTGCAGTGTGGGTAGGATGGGATTCCAGATGACGAGTGAATGTACAGTAGAGGTGTTTAGCGAATTCCTCAGCTTTGTCTTCATCAGACGCCGCCCAGGAGCCATCACCTCGACGAAGGAATTGGGAAACGTAGTGGGATTTAAGGATTTTTTTTTTTTTTTTTTTGTGAAGTTCCAAAGAGAATTGTCATGAGCGGAGAGTTAAAGGATTAGGATCTGAAGTAGGATAGTTCCTGCTTCAGTTGTTTACAGTAATAATTGTAGGAACGGCGATGGGCTGGATGTCTAGTGCGTTGCCATAATGATATGGATTAGGTCGAAGAGGTGTTGAGGTAACTTATTTTTCTTAAGGATTTTTGGGGAGTGATTAGGGGAGGAAGCAGTCCAGACTGCTTGTTGAATCGTAGTGGTAAAGGAATGTAGGGCATCACTAGCGGATCCAGGATTTAATTTTGGGGGCTTCGGCCCGGAAGCATTTTTTTTCATATATATAACGATAATTACTTTAAAAAACCAGAAAGATACTAACTACCTATATGAAACGGTGTTTAAGTGATTCTTTAAGTCCTATTAAATGTAATTAAAGGAGCAATAATACTTTAAGACATATTTTTTTTAAATATTTTTTACCATAAACCATGGTTACATTTTACCATTAGGGGGAGGGGGCTTCAGCCCGAAAGTCCTCCCCCCCCCAGTAAATCCGCCTGTGTACGGCATTGACAAGGTCTTCTGCGGTTTTTAGGGTTATTCTGAGGTCAATTTGATCGGGAAGAGTTTCCAGTTGGTTGGACCTCTGATGAAGGATGGTGGGGAGGGTTTAGGAATAGGAGCTAGTGATACTTGGAGTATTAAAGGACTGTGGTCTGAAGAAAGTTCATCAAGACGGGTAAGAGAATGATTGAGGGGTTCTTAACCACTGTTAGGATCAGTGGGCGAGTAGGTAGGTGAGTTAGGAGGAAGGAAGCCGAAACGTTGGAAATTGAGTGCAGACAGCAGTGTTCTACCACGAGATCTCGTGGTACTTTTACCGCACTTTTGATGCTTTGAATTTAAGTCTGCACCCAGGATGAAATGATGTCTTAAGGAATTGAAGAGGAAACTAAATCGAGCATTGGAGATGGATTGATTAGGAGGGCATTAAGCTGATGCAACGGTAATAAGAAAGGAGAAGGTTTTGATTATGATAGCAGTGGATTGTGAGAAATCGTGGGTTGGTGTTGGGAGTAGGTGATGAGAGAGAAAGATTGGTGCACAAGGATAGCAGTACCGGCTTGTGCCCTAACGGATGGTCAGTACGTTAAGTACTGCGGGATTTTTAAACTCTGTTTTTTGGTCCGTCGAGTTTCCATAATGAGGGCTACATCAACGTTCTTGTCTAGTAGAACAACTGTTAGTTAGTCAGTGCTTCTAACACCATTCGCATTCCAAAGGAGAATGGATAAGGGTTTGATGGGATTCATTTAAGGATTTTTTAAAGGAGGAATGAGATGAGATGCTAGATTTGTGAGGAGTGATATCAGTAGGGTAACAAGGGAGTTGAATTCAGTAAGGAAAGATGCCAACAGACGGGTAAGGTCTGTGGCATGTGATGGAGGAGGAATTTGATGTTGATTGGGGTTTTGTTCATTAGGAGGGACAGGGTGTTCACGTTGGGATTGGGGTGGTGCGGCAGGGCCTCACATTTATCTCTACCCCCAAGTAACTGAGAGAAGGAAACTACTGCGTCCACTTTTTTAGCAGGTCCTCTTCTGGGTTTCTTCTTGGTTTCGAGATTTGTAAAATTTATTTTTGATATTTTCATAGATCTCACAGCCCTTGCAGTTGGCAGGATGCCCTTCCAGACATAGAGCACATACTGCGGGTGCTGATTTCGATTTCGTGCATTCGCCGGACTTGTGTGTCTGTCCGCATTTCATACATCTTGGTATATGATGGCAGTAAGCCTTGGTGTGGCCATATGCCTGTCAGTTGTGGCACTGGACAATTTCTCTTGTAGTGTATGGTTTTTCAACCTT